TCTTTCCCTCCCCCTCTCTTCCTTCCCAAGGGAGGAGCCTCAGCCAATGGAGGGAAGAAAGGCTTTGCTCTCTGGCTCTGCTGTGCAATTGAGAGAGCTTGGCAAAGCAAACTGTGTTGCAGAAGAAAGCAAGAGAGAAGGAGAAGTACGCAGATGGCAGCCAGTTGCTTGCGGGCCTGATACAACCCCTGTGGGGGCCATATGCAACCTGCAGGCCGCATGATTGACGCTCCTGTTCTAGTGGAATATATTAAATGAATTTTTTGTTGGTTTTATGTTGATTGATAAACTTTAAGTTTGAAAAAAAAATCTCTAATGTTGGGGGTTGCATCCTCTGCTGTGTGTTGTCTATGGGTAATGCATTCCACGGACACGAGACACATTCTGTCAATGGAGGAAAAGTTGGTTGGACATAACTTATGTTGATGGAATGTATTACACTTGGAATACCATACTTTGTTTTAATAGTGAATATACCCCCCCCCCCAACATCCCTCCCCAAATTTCTGGAAATTTTAAATCTTTAATACTGGTCCAGTAATGTCTTACAACTAGGGTTACAGTGAGAACCCACTCTGAGAAATTTCATTTTTTTCCCCCTGGAGAAAATAAAAAAGCGAAGGTTGTACTGCTGAGTTTTATCTCCAGACAGGCATACTTTTTCTTGCTAGTCCTTCTGCATATTACTTTTGCTTTCATAATAGGATTTTTAGCAACTTGCTGCTGTCAACTGTGTTTAATCTCTAAAAGGATGGAATAATTTTATTGCCTGAAAATAGGGTTGCCAGCTCCAGGTTGGGAAATACCTGGAGATGGGGGGTGGTAATCTGAGGAGGATGGGGTTTGAGGAAGGGTGGGACTTCCATGGGGATTTCCACTTTCCAAGTATCCATTTTCTCCAGGCGAAGTGCCCATTTTCTCTATCGCCTGGAGATCAACTGTAAAAGTGGACAATTTCCAGCCACCACCTTGAGGCTGGCAACCTTGCCTGGAAAAGAGGTCGTTGAAAGCTAAACTAGAACTAAAATAGTTCAGGCCAGGGAAAAAAGCATTTCCTGGTACATTTCCTGGTTCATTCTACAGATATCTGGTTTGTCTTGCTTTGTTACATGCCTTTTTAGGGACAAGAAAATTTATACTGCCACCAAGTTTCAGAATTAGTATGTATGTTAGACATTTCAGCCCTGGTGTTCAGTCCAATAAGATAGGGATACTTAGCTAGTGGATCAGGGTGGGGATGTGTTTGTCTCTGGGGATATGTAATCCCCACAGGCTGGCTCAAATGTTAGTAACTGTTGTTCTCTTGAATCATAAAGGCATAAGGTTGCCAGATCCAGGTTGGGAAATATCTGGAGATTTTGGGGGTGGAGCCTGAGGAGGGCGGGATTTAGGGAGGGAAGGGACTTCAATGGGGTATAATGCCATAGAGTCCACCTTCCAAAGCAGTCATTTTCTCCAGGGGAACTGATCTCTGATGCCTGAATCAGATCCCCAGTCACCACCTGGAGGCTGGCAACCCTATAAAGGCATAAGAAGCCAGAGTTCGTTAATATTAGGCAAGGCAATTTCACAACTCAGAAAGTATGTTTTGAGGTATCTGAAAGTTGCTGTGGCTAGAATCTGAGCTCTTGGGTTCATGTATTACAAAACTCACATGACCACCCCACTCTTGTGGGAAGTATATGCTAGCACTGACTGTTGTTCATTTACCATCATGTGTTGGAAGCAGTGTGCATGTATGAGTTCTTTCTTACATTGCTGGTGGGTTTGTATCCACATTGCAAAATTCTAGTGTATGCTTACAAGCACAATTTGCTCAATCACAAGGTATTCAATCGCAATTACTCCCAGGCAGATACTCCTAAATCTGTCGGGGAAGGACTGGATTTCACGGGTTCGAAACACTTGATAATCATCTTACCGTAACCAAACTAGCAATAACTTTGAAATGGAAAGAAGGGATAGATCCGACAAAAA